AAAAGTCTAAAAAAAAAAAAAAAAAAAAAAAAAAGTAAAGAAGTGGCCATAGTTTGAGACAGTGTGATTTCAATTAACGTTTTGTTGCAAATATGAAAATAAATATTCCTGAATCTCACAAACCAGTATCCCCTATACAATAAATCTGCCATCTCTTTATACTCTATTCATACAAGTTTATATCCTGAAAATTTCTCACCCACTCACCTATCATTACATAACTTGAGAGTCTTGATCTATTGTTCTATCTCTAGAATTTAAGGCCAAAATGCATTTCAAAGCTGAGTTTCAAAACTCTAAATCAATTTTAGTAGGTCCTCTAAAACAAGCAGTTACTATTGAAATCATCTTTCTAGTTTTGCAAATTCATCTCTGAAAAAAAAAAAAATCCTGTCCATAATAAAATCAGCAGACAGCATGACTCCTTACCAATCCTACCTTGTCTTTTCCTATGTTAACTTAATTATTAACACACTCAGAGACAAATAAAAAGAGAGAGGGATAATGAGAAAGCACCCCACGAGAGGAACGGTCACACCACCATTCCTTCTCCATTCTCTCAAGATTTGGGGCATGCACACACACGCACCCATGTGGTGTCTTCAGGCCACAGGGTCTGGGACTCGAACTGCACAGTCAGCCTTATGGATCCAGCCACCTCAACCACCAGTTCACCCGAAGCTTTCATTTATATTCTTGGGCTATCACGTATTAAAGAATAAGTAGGTAACTTTTTAAGCTTACAGTTGACTAAGGATCACATAATCATGAGAATTTAAATGTCATGAAAATTTCCTGAGAAAGGGCTTTGTCTATCATATTATATCCAATACCTAGAACATGTATCTGATAAAAGGTAAGGAGAAACAAAACAAAACAAAACAAAGCAAAACAAAAAAAGTGTTGAATAAGTTTTAAAGCACAAGAATTACTATTATTTTTTTTTTTTGGAGAGGTTTTTCTATAGAGCACATGCGCTCACCAGAAAGAGAGAGACAAAGAGACAGAAAGCAAGAAATCACCCCCATGGGGGATGGCCACGCTGCAATCCCTTCTCCTCCATTCTCCTCTCACCATCTTGGGCACACATGCACACGTGCCTGGCGTGAGTTTAAGCCACCGTGTCCGGGACGCGTTTCCTGGTCAACTACATGGGAGTCCAGCGATATAGCCATTACGCTAACTGCTGGTCCCAAAAGCTCTTTAAAATTCTTGATATTATAGTTTAAGAAAGTTTAAAAAGTATCAGTTTTATCATGTTATTATGCATACATATATTTTTAAGTACACATACGTAACACATGTGTGTATGTACATATATAAAATAACTATTAAAATAGCTACAAGTCTCCTAGATACCATCAGAATTAAACTAGAAAAACATAAAATTTCACAAGTGATTCTGTCAAGTTTTCTACCTCGTTCTACATGTAAAAGAAAATGCAGGCATATGAATGTCTTGTCACAAAATTGAAATCAGATGTTGACAACACTAACATAAAATTTATATCTTTAAAGTAATTACTAGTCATAAAGTTCATTTCTGAAAACCACTTCTAAAACCAAAACATAACATTATGACTATAGAATACTTTAGAGTTAATATGAAAACTCCAAAATACCCTATCACACAGTAGGACCAGAATCATGATATATTAAAGAATCAAAGACATCAAGCAAAAACAGGTTAACAAACTATATTTGCTTTTAACACATCACTAAGTGTTAAGTATGAAAACAAAGAACTTCTATACCTTTCCACATAGAGAAGAAATCTGTTCCAGCAGCAGCACAGAACTCTGTTTGGCATTGTTACTTGTCAATCCGCTGTTCTGAGGAGTTAAAGAAATGACGGTACACTAACCAGGAAGAATGTTACTCCCTAAAGTAAGTTTGATGATTTTAATTCTTCCATAAGTTACTTAAATTCATTAATAAAAAAAAAGTAAGTGGTGCCAGGTCAAGGTGGATGGTTACAGTGGCTGGATCCCACATGGCTAACCATGAGGTTCAAATTCTAGACCCAACAGCTTGAAAAAAACACCAGTCACATACGTGTGCACATCCCCAAAATCCCAACAGGAAGAAGATGGAGGAAAAGGAATTGAGGCATGACCTTCACCCATGGGGAATGCTTCTGTCTCTCTGTCTGTCTGTCTCTTTCCTGTGAGTATACGTGCCCTTTGTCAAAATATAACTTAAAAATGTAATCGACCATATAGTCCAGCTTCTGTGGTACAGTCACAGCATGCAGGGCAAGAGCTGGAAGCCATATGCAGACCCAGAACCATAACAGCATGCAGGGTTAGAGCTGGAAGCCATATGCAGACCCAGAACCAGGTTCAGGTCCCCAGCGGTTGGTTTGAAAACATTCTAGTTTGTGTGTTCCCATACGTGTTCCCAGGATCTTGGCATACCAGAAGTCTGGAGGAAGGGGAATCACAGCGTGACCAAGCCTGGTGGAGGATGCCCCTCCCTCTCTCTCTCTCTCTCTTTC